ATTGTTAATGTGCAATGAAACGCTCTGATTATTTACAGATACCACAATGTGTTGTTCATATTTCTATCAGTTTTGGGTATCAGTTCAGTCTGCGCTATTTCCGTTTCTATTTCTGAAATGAACCAACAAAGGTTTTATCACTAAAATTACTCTTTTATGATTTCAGATCGTCTCTCTTCCCATATTGTGCTTCATTCAGTGCATTCAAAATCTTGCTATGATCGTATGAGTGTCTCTGTCTTCATTGAACAATTTGTTCTATTTGGAAATCACTAATTGTAAGTCAGTCGTGTACGATTCTGCGGGACACAAGCAGCTTTTAACAAGTGCCTTTCAAGTCCCACAAGAAGAGAAACACCAGAAGATGTCACTAAGTTAGTTGAGATCCTGTGCACTGTAAACATCGAGTGTGCTGCACTGTACTTTGTCTGGACTGTTTTCAAAGGATTATCTTTTTGCTTTGAAGTTCCATATTTACTAGATTAAAAAGCGTTGATAAAAGCTTGTTTTTAGTAATGACCTTCTAATCATTTACCAGACTTGTTACGAAGTTTGCCTCTAAATTTGATTTCGGCAAAAAAGAAAATTGTTTCGCACGAGAAATCGTTTGATGGTGCAATTTTAAAATGAGATTTAGCTTTTATGATTTGTAAACAAGGAAGAGCACGATTAAAAATGCAGGATGCGTGATGCAGAAATAGCACTCGCTTTTACAGCCTATAAATGGAGAACTTTTTTGAGGCTTTGGAAAATTTCAATGGCACTGAGTCAGTCTCGTAGATGTGTACGATTCAACAGGGCAATAGCTGTTTTCAATTGGTGCGTTTTCAAGTTTCATAGGAAGTTCTTCAAGTACTAGGAGTTGTCAATTATTTTTGTTGGCTTGAAATGATGTTTTAGATTTATGACCGACGAACACAATTTACAGCTTCTAATGAAATGTTATGCCATAAAATAATCATGGCATAACATTTTATAGGAGTGTTAGCTTGTAAGCTCATCAAAAATGTTGTAAACAGAAGCAAAAATGCTTCTTTTTTCATTAAAAATGAGAAGCATTTTATGCGGTGGAATTTTTGGATTGGAATTCTTTCATAAAAATAACGGAAAGTTTCATACGAGTTTTGGAGAGCAAACGTGGTTTTTCTTGATTCTTACTCAAAAATTCCTAATTAATCAAAAAATTTTTAATTCTTAATCATGAAACCACAAATTTCTTAATCAGAAAACTATGAAATTCTTGATCAGGAAATCACATATTTGCAAACTAACGAACAGTTGATCAGAAATCGATGATTGTGACGTGTCTGATGATCGTAATCGATTGCAGGCTCTGGTATCAGCAAATCATATGTCTGTGTCGCATATTGTCTGAACGATAAGTCCGTGTCCTGAAAGAAAATTTCGATTCCTCTTCATAAATACCACATTTGAAATTAAATTCTGCGAATATGTATTCCCATACCACTGTTTGGACTAAACTGCTGTGTAGAAAATTGTACTACATCTAACTGTAAGAAATCAGTGATCAACAAAAACTGAATAAGTTTGCTTGGTTCTTAAAACTGAATTTTTTATGTAAGAAAAAATTCAAGAATTTTTTCAGTTATGTTTTAATTTCAAGGATTTCAAAATTTTCCAGGAAATTGCTTGATTGAAAAAATTTATCTTATATGAATTTTCTTGTGTGATCAGAGCGCTTCTTAACATGATTCCATCCATTTGCTTACATCAATTTTGGATTATATTCTAGCGAAGTAAGTGATACCTTAGCTCCTTTCCGGATATCTTCCAGTGACATTTGTTCGTCTTCTTCTAGTGCGCTATCAAGCTCCTGAAGAATTTCCATTCCAGTCTTATCGTCTGTAAATTCTGACTCTTCTCCATCCGGCCCCAGTCGCTTATATTTCTCGTATCCTATAAGTAGTCATCCTTTTGGGCTGTTGATTTCTCGAAAATGAATTAATTGATGAAACATGAAAGTGAATCGATTCAAACTATGGAAAAAAAATCAAACATTGAAACTATCGAAAAAATTTTTTGAATTATCTATTCAAAAAGTAAGTGATAAAATTTACCCACAGGTGAAGTAATACTCGAAGGAAGGTAAGCAATTTCAGTTGATAACGTAGAATGACCGTTCAGTTGCCTGAAATTTTTCGAAAATCTGAATAATTCCTTTCATATGTCAACCAACACCTTAGCATTCAATAAAATTATCAGGCTATCTGAAGAATCATAGTTACAATATGCCCAGGGATCTGTCTTCGTATGGAACGACTCTAGCATTTCTTTGGTGATCATAGTGGAGTTCTTATTCAAGAAACGACAACCTCAACATGTAGTAATTTGGGTCACAAAAGATAGAAATTTTATAGGTAAATGTAAAGTTTAGAGGTAACCTAAGTCCTGGAACGATGATCGAGTCATTATGAAAGTCATGAACGTAGTCATTATAAAAGAGCTGTGAGGAACTAAGAGGTTTTTATCAGTTATAGAATCCTTTCAATGAATATAACTTTGATTGAATTACCGATCCAGAAACGTTTTCTCTGAATATGAGCCAAAGTCGGCACTTCGAGATGATGATAGCGAGGATCCTGTTTCTGAGTGAGAGCGATGTTCAGGTTTCGAGTTGCTTTGATGTGATGACGGCGGTTGGTAATATTGTTCCAATACTGTCTTTGTAATATGCGGTTGTATGTTCGGGTGATGCGGTTGTCTGTTTGGAAAGTCTGAATGAATTCATTAAATGAGTTGTTAAATTCAGGAATCGGAACATTTTGGGAATTAGATTCATTCATTCACTTGAATTCATTAAAGGAGAGAATTTGACTGTAGTAGTTGCGAAGTTCACGATCTTTTTATTGGTCGCTCGTGTAAGTTTATCCAGTTCCAGATCATTTTTGGGGATCTACTATCAAGTTTTCTTCAGTTGTCACAGTTTCGATCATATGAGACTTATGACATGAGTTTTCTTGGTATAAGTATAAGAAAAAAAACATAATCGTATCTTTAGGACTAGCCAGCACTTATGATTCTTAGACAAGATCCGAAATAAGGAGTAAGAAGGAATGATCAAGTAGGAATCGATAAGGGACTAGTATTGGTCTGTAATCGAAAGTACTTATGCTGCATTGTGGTATGCAGTTATTGTAACGAGCATATTTATTGTAAACCGTGTGAAGTGTATTCGCAAATTGGTCACAGTTTATTGTATCATTCTCTATTCCGGTATTGTTTGAGTGCCTTAATCATTAGTTGGGAAGAAACATTTATACATTGATAATTCATGACGCTAGACTTTGTTCGATCAGAATAAGAATCGTCATTACCGGTATTATTGTCAAAGTAGTCGATTGGCGGCTC